GGCACTGCCGGACCTCAACCGCGACTTCCAGTGGCACTGCCGGACCTCAACCACGAGCTCCAGGTCGCAGTGGGCACTGCCGGACCTCCACCACGAGCTCCAGGTCGCAGTGGGCACTGCCGGACCTCAACCACGAGCTCCAGGTCGCAGTGGGCACTGCCGGACCTCAACCACGAGCTCCAGGTCGCAGTGGGCACTGCCGGACCCCAACCACGAGCTCCAGATCCCAGTGGGCACTGCCGGACCTCAACGGCCAGATAGAATGCCAGAAGATATGCCAGATGGAATGTCAGATAGAATGCCAGAAGATATGTCAGATAGAATGCCAGAAGATATGCCAGATAGAATGCCAGAAGATATGCCAGATAGAATGCCAGAAGATTTGCCAGATAGAATGCCAGAGATATGTCAGAATATATGCCAGAACATATGCCAGAAGATATGCCAGATAGAATGCCAGATAGAATGTCAGATAGAATGCCAGAAGATATGCCAGAAGATATGCCAGATAGAATGCCAGATAGAATGCCAGAAGATATGTCAGATAGAATGTCAGAAGATGTGCCAGTAAGAAAATGTATAAATGCCATGGTGGGGATCATTCGAAGTGAAGTATTTTTTTTTGTCCTCCATTTTTTGAACATTGATAATCAAGACTTCATTGATTCTAATTTTGTACAGGCGAAAATGTTGCCAGTTTTTTATAACCAAACTCGCGGGTCTCTTTTCTATTTTGTGGATTTTAGCCATGGATCAACAGTTCATACTTATAAAATGGGGTTCCCTACCCAGACCCCCTCATTTTGAGGGGGTACAAACCAAATTTGTGTCAAACAGGAACGTTTGACCCATCGAACTAACCACCTTTCACCACCCATTTGCATCCGCGTCCGGGCTCTTGACGGCCTGTGTTGATGTTTTGCTAATCCTTTGTGATATGTTGACGCCCTCCTGATCCGTGTTGCATTGGGCCAATGTTTTGCAATTTGGTACCGGGAAGCATATTTGATTACCACCCAAAATGTACACAAGGCATTTCCAGTCCGAAACAGAATTAAGCAGGCATTTATTGCCAGGCATTGGAAATGTGATTGCGGTTGCTTTGAATAAGCAAAAGCAATCCTTTAGTTGCCATGGGGGCAACAGCTAGGTCCACATTCAAACCTATTCCGCGTGGTAGGGTTTCGGTAGTCTTTTACGCATTGGGTTTGGGTGCGAGGCAAGAAATGCGGACTTGTCATGTGCGATGCCTTGTCGTGCCGCTGCCACGGGCTGGGCTAGCCGCTATAGGGGGGACGGCCAGCAGCATAGTTTTAGATTCCAATGGGTGGCAATCTGAGCACTTTCAAGCTACCGCCGCCGTAGAACACATTTGAGTTGTTCATGATTGTTTACAAATACATGTGGACTTGGTTGTTTCTCAGGTGCCCAATGCTCATGCCAGGCCGCAGAATGGACAAAAATCGGTTTTGTCATGTGTTGTCATGTGTTTTCGCCACATGTTTTTTTCTCCGTTTGCTCTGATGCCCGCAGGTGCCGGAGGAAGTAGACGCCAACGAGGAGTTCCCGTTAACACCGTCGAAGGCGTTCCTTCCTTCCTTGGATGAATTTCACAACAGCAAAGTCACCCTTTTACTGTTGCTGCAATGGTTGGTGTCAGGAATACTATTCCTCGAAGCACGGTGATTGTTTCCAAGTGGGCGAAGATGTTCCATCCTTAGACTTGCAAACTCTGGGGTCCAAAGGAATGTCAATTTGCCTGGTTCACCCTGCGCCCCGCAGGCTTCTTACACAGTGCGTAGCGCTGGTTCCACCAGTTCCTTGACAGAATGAAGCGGAAGGTAAAATGATGTAAAATGAAAAACAACAAAACCAAACGTGGCAGATGTGATGTGGAATTCGTTCATCAAAAAACCGAGTCACAGGCATTCCAAGTGATGAGTGCAGTTGCCCAAATGATTCCAAAGAGGCCTGGGAGTCGGCCATGCAAAAAGACGCAACTGACAACGTTATGACGTGATGTTGTTTGTTTGCGGGGCTGCCATTGCTTCATGCTGCTCGCTTTCCCGCTGTGACAGTTGGGCTTCAAGGAAACGGATTCCCAAGAGGACCTGGCCGCACATAAATTTGGAGGGGTGATGCCATTTGCGAGTTCATGAATTGCAACCTTTCATTTTTTTAATCCAAGAGACAACTCAAATTAAGCCAAGAGACCGCTGCAATCCGCTGCAACTGAATTCACAACCCCGGTGTTGTGCCACGGCCAGGACTTCTTGCTTAGAGGTCAAAGTTCCCGGAGCTGCCGCAGTTATTATTTGGCTGGACTTCCTGGCGATGATGGCCTTTCACAGGCTGCACATGGCTGCACCAGTGTATTTTTCTGATTGTCAACAGACTGTTGCACCGAATAGCACCGGCACCTGCCAGGCCTCCAAGGGTTCCTTGGCAAGGCTACAGGTGCTGGTCGAGGGTGCTGACTTTCTGGGAGCAGAGGCTCGCTGGATTTTCGTGAAAGGGTTTGGTCACAGTTTCGCTGGGATTTTGTGTGGGAGGAAGGGTTCCAGGATATTAATTATGGTTCAACTGCAACTTCTTTCTGGACCTGGCTGTTCTCAGCCAGGTGGAGTTGACCAAATTAATGGATGAGTTGGCAGTGGCAAGCTCGGAGATAGCTGTGAAGTGCCAGAACGTTGCACCATGGCACAGCATCTTTCAACAGTCCCAAATGCAATAGATGGGAAACACATTGAACACCGCATATGGATTTGGAACATATCACGGTGTAGCAACTTTGATTGGCGGCCGTCCTCAGCTCATACGCCAAACAATAGTGCCCTCAGGACCCAGCAACCGCAGACGAGCGCGCCATCATATCAGCATCGCCAGATGCTTGCAGTGGCTACACGCCTTGCCTTCAGTCAGTTTGATTCAATTTGCACTTGATGTTGAGGCCTTTGGTGATGCACATCAAGGATGAGCTCAGACTCTACCGGGAAGTCAAGATTCCCAGGATTTCAACAGGTAAAAGTTTAGATCAGCAGCATGCATTCCATTCCAGGAAACAGTCTGAGTATGTTGGATTTGTTGAAGTCCCTGACTGTGTTCGTGACGATGCTTCAGGTTGCCCAACAGTGTGTTGGCCTCAGGTTCAAGGCAACGTGCTTGGCATCGCCGCATATCGCCGCACTTCTCACAGATAGAGCTCGTTGATTTCCAGTGACTGCAGGGATGGAATGATACGGACCGATTAGACTGATGATATAGGAATCACACGGAACCATACAGTCTCACGTTCTACATGAGTTGAGGTTGCCAGTTTACTGAGCCAGACAGTTTTCTGCTGTATTCCAATGAGCACTTGCATCAGAGTATCCATGGAAGCTGTGAGCCCAGCTGAAGATGCTGAAGGGCTGGTTGCATGTATGTGTGTGCATATGTATATATAAATATATAATACTATAATACTGGTAGATAGATGGATGGATAGATACAAAAAACTATATATATATATATTTGTTCATAAAATACATACATAATATATATATATATTATAATGTAATTTAATATAATATAGAATAATATAATTTGACATAATACAAAATATAAAATATAATATAATACAAATTATGATATAATATAATACAATATAATATAATATGATATCATATAATTTAATTTGATATAATATCATATGACACAATATAATATATAATACAATATTTACCATAATTTAATACAATATATAAAATATAATACAGAATAATACAATACAATAGAACATATAATATGATATAATATAATATATTATGATTTAGTATGATATAATATTATATATATATTGCTTTTCCAATTCTCTGTGGCAGTCAGTAAATGGTTTTCTTACTAAACAGACCCCCACATTTTTCAAATGGTGCACCGTGAAATCACGTTTTTTTTTTTCATAGGAGGATTACGGCAGTTTGGGAACATGCAGGAAACCGTGGACTACAAAGCCTGTCCATCCAGCTCAACTGTAGTAATTTCTGGTTGTCACACATCACACATCATCACACATCACAATTTCAAGATGTGCGCTTTTCTTGGCTTAGCGCCGCAAATTTGTTCTTTGCTTGCGCCAACCTCTGGATTGGCATAGAAAGAAGATCTAAATCCATCGTGCTCCAAATGGTGCTTCAAATCGTCCTTTTTTTTTTGGCTATATATTTTACAAGTAAACCCACAATTTATAGCACAATTTTTGGCACCATATTTTTTTTTGGCATTTTCTCATGCAGCACCCATGACATGTTTTATTTTTTAAATATTCGTGCACCATTTTTTTTCAGCATTTCTTCGTGCACCAAATCGTGCTCTTTTTTGCATTCTTTCGTGCGCCATATCATTTGGTTTTAAAATGTTTCTTTTTTTCTGTTTTTTTTTTCTTTCGTGCACCTTATCGTGTTTTTCTTCTCCTTTTTTTCGTGCACCATATCGTGTTTTTTCTCTTCAATTCTTCGTGCACCATTTTAAATCCTGCCTAAAATCGAGCTACTGTAACAGAGCATGGTAAAATCACAATATATATAAAGTATATAAATATACAATAAGACAATTATATATAAAATATAGTTATAGTGATATATATATATATATATACACGATATGTATACACACTAGAATGTATATATATATATATACATATACATATATGTATATAGATAGATAGATAGATAGATAGATAGATAGATAGATAGATAGATAGATAGATAGATAGATAGATAGATGGATACATAATATAATATCACCCGAAGGTCTTCCACAGTTGAAATCCATGACAAGGCTTTGACCGGCACAACCCCCGTGTTTTCCACTATCACTTGCGTTCGGCTGCCAAGTTTTACTTGAAGTCGCCCAAAATTTGCAGGAAAACCTTGATGGACACCTAGACACACCCTTCTTGTGTGAATTGGACAGCAAGAAGTTGAGCAACCACTGGCTTCCTGTAATTTCAGTCGCCAGGCATGGTCTTCCCGTTCCAGCTTGCCCATGTTTTCTCCGTTGCGTTCGAAGAGGAGCTGTCAACTGAGTGGAACAGTGCGAGCCTTGTCTCCTTTTTTGCAGCAGCAGCTGTCCAAAATTTGAGAGCGGGTTCAGCTTTCATCCTTAATGGATTCATATATATATATATACACATGCATATTCAGATGATTTTGCACTGTCTCCAGCTTTGACAGGTATGCTACTGAAGACTCCAGAGCTCATCGAAAATGAGCAAGGCCTTCACACTGTCACCTCTTCCCAGGTGGGGCGTTAGCAGAGATTTCTACGGAATTGGCTTGTGTTTCATGTTACGTTTTTCAGTCTGACATCAATTTAGAAGCAACTACGAGGCTTCAGCCATGCTGGGCCTTCTAAAACTGGCCTGCCACTCAGTTGCCGTTTTTTTGGGGGTTTGTGGGAGTACAGTGAGCGTGTGTTGGTTAGTTGTTATGTTTTTCTGTTGGTGTTCATGATTGTTGCTGTTTTTTTGTGCGGGGGGGGGTTCTGGGGATTACTTGTTGATAACTTTCACCCCATCGTTTGGTTTGAATGAGGGATAGTTGTTGAGCTTGTTATGGTTTCATGTTTGTGTGTTGGGCTGGCAATTAGCTCATGCTAGTTTTTTGAAGCCAACTATTCTGAAGCAGTGATTCTTATGCTCTTCCGTTTCCTTTTCTTGGTTTCCTGATCACGGAAACCCATGTTCCCCAATCACAGAAACCCCTGTTCTCCAATCGCGGAAACCTGTGCTCCTAAATCACAGTTTCTTGTATTCAAAAAAATGCAGGTTCATTGGCAAACTCACAAGGCGTCAACGCCAATCAGAGTCCCCCTTGCCCTTTTACCACTTTTTTCTGGGAGTGCAGGACTTCCTCGACAGAACCCAGCGCTTCATTGATGTGGAGGCAGTTTGCCTGTCATGGGAGGCTTGTCATTCTGTTATCCGTGCTACTCCTGCAGGGCGGCATGCTGGTCGAGTACGTCAAGACAGTTGAAGAAGGTCGCAGGGGCCAGCAGATTTGGGGAGAGATGTCGTCCCCTTTAGTCACTGTTTGTTTCTTGCGGGGTTAAGGACATGGATAGATTGCAGTGGATATTGCCGCTCGGTGGCTCCACAGAATCACAAAAGCAGTGCTGAATGTAGCCGTTGTGGCTCAGCTAGATTGAAGCAAACAACCCAGGGCCAAAGTGGTGCTTTCAACCAGTGACAAGTGCTGTCCCGCCGTGGTCATCCACTATGAACAGCGCCTTTGATGCAAGACTGCACTTTGCCAATGTTTGCCATATATATATATATATATATTACACACAGTATATATATATATATATGTTCGCATGTTTTGTCAACTGAGTGTGGGGGCAGCTTCTTCTCTCAAGCTGTATGGACAGGCCAGTCGCGGTAGGGTCGGCTAGCGGGATAGCTTCGACTCTGATCCTTTCGCTGCTTAGGAACCTTGTCCACGAGCAGGCCTTCGAACCTTCTGGCTTGCAACTGCCCATACAGTGTCCCCAGTTCGAACTGGCATTAGAGGACGTGCCCTGGTGGACCTTTTTAGCTGGATTAGGGTGTGGTGTCCTGCTGGGACCTCTCATCGACCTAGTGAGCCTTGCCCGACTGAAGTGGAGGCGACTGGTTTTTCGCGCATTTGCGCGGGAGCAACGAAGCGGACCGAAGTTTCAACGTGAGACATCGAGACCACTTCACAAGGTGGTTGCATGAGCAGAACACCTGGACCAGCTGGAACAGAAAGTGAGAACGCCAGACTCCGAGAAGAGGTGAAGCTTCTGCGTGAGGAGCTACGGCACCTGACATTGAGGGTAGACAGACAAGGAGATCAGTTGAACGAGCTGAGTGAATCCGTTGTCGGGACATCAGTCCAATCCTTCGAAGTTGTGAGTTCGGCAGGGGTTTCTGCAGTGCCTGGTGGAAGTCAAGCAGCTGGACACGCGACTGGTTGTGAGGCCGCCGATCCGGTTGGTCCCTATCCTTGGCCTTTGCGTGAAGCTGTGGCGAGAGACATTGGTGCATTTTTGAAACGCTGCTTGGACGGTGAGCACAGAGGAGAATCCGGACGAGATCGCATCAAGGGTCTACAGAGCAGGGTCTACATTGTGGTCAGAGATTTTGATCGCAAAGTTTACAATCCACCTTTGCTGCTGAAGACTTTTGGTGAAGTCAAGGGGTATTGCAAGAGAGACGGGAGCTGCGGTGATTCGATTTTCATCGGAGTCCCTTCTTATCACGAGGCATCAATTGCAGTGTCGGGAGCAGGGCTGTTTTGGCCTTCTAGCTCGCGATGACTGAACCCAGCTTGGATGGTGAGGCCTTATCCGACCGGGGTGCTCACAGCGATTCAGAAGGGCCGGAACCAGTGGCTTTAGGGCCACGCGATTTTGTTGTGGCGCAAGAAGACGGCACGGCTGATTTCCTTTACCGTGTCGGAAGACTTCCTTTACCTGAGCTTGGGCTGCTGACTGCAGTGGTTGCAGTTGCTGACATAGACGGAAAGCTGCTTGTTGCCCTGCCGGAAGGCGTCTGGAACAGATCAGTTGCGAAGCGGCTCCTACCTCAGAGGGCCATTTCAAAACCACTTTTGTGCTCTGTAGCCGCCTGTCAGGCTGACAAGCGGGAAGTTTTGGGTTTTGACGCTGTGGACATTAAGGTATGGTTTGGTTTGCTGCACCCTGCGATGGAGGGAGATGTGGACTATGTGGGAGAGGACGAGATCCACTACCACTTCAGCCCGGAGGGCGAAGAGCCTCTCTTTCCTTACGGACCAGCACTGGTCGAGGTTGCTCAAGCTCACTATTCCTTCAGCACTGCGGACGAGGGGATTCCCAAAGACGTTCCAGAATGCCCTCCAAATTTCACTGGGGTGTCAGAGGAGCGTTTTCAGAAACTGGAGCTGGCACTGGAGGGGATGCAGAGAGGGCTTCAGCAGTTGTTGGGGGCCCGTGTGGGAGCCTCTCCAAAGACTTTGGCTCGCCCGTTGCCACCTCCACCTGTCAACAAGGCTCCCAAGAGCAACGCAGTGGGATCCCAGGAGGTTGCAGGCCTAGAACCAGAAGTTGTTCAGTCAGCTTTGGCGGCGGGAATTCCTTTGGCTCATTTGGAAGAGATGGGATCCATTTTGAAAGGCAAACCTCAACGGATAGAAGAGCTGCCCCGGAAGAGGCCTGTTCAGAAAACAAAGCAAGGTCCTTTGAGCGAAAGCGAAGAAGAGGAAGATGTGGAGGCAGAAGAGGAAGGCCTTCCTTCCGGCGGATCTGGAGAGCAAGAAGGTGCTGGCCCGCAGCGCAGCATGGAACGAGCAATAGTGAAACTTACTGCAATTGCTGCGAAGCTGGCGGGTCCCAAAGAAAAGCACAAGATCGACAGTTTGCTGGACGGCGGCAGTGGTGGAGTCGCTGGAAGCGAGAGCAGTTCGATTGGAGCTGGGAGGAAGAATGCCGCAGCCATGCGAGCACTGCAAAAATGCCTGTTGGAAGATCCCAAGTACATCTTTCAGATCATGGAGGCCAATTTGCAGAGCGACTTTCTTGCCCGGCCGATTCAACCGGGAGAACCACTTGCTTCAGGCACCACTGTGAGGGGCTGGCTGACTGCCCGCTCCAGAATCCAACTCTACCACAATCATGTCCGTTGGGCTTGGCAGGTCGGTGGGATCTGGGACTGTCTCATAGCTGGAAGACACGAGGAGGCGAGAGCGAGATGTGCCCTACTGATTGGAGCGGCAGATCAAGCTTCAATCGATGGAGGCAACTGGGTAGTGTCGAATGTGGCCCTGCTGGAAGCTCCACCTCCTTATCAAAGCTTTGCGACGCATCAGTCTCCGAGCCCGCTCGAGCTGCAGCACAGTGTCCTCTACGACCATCGCTGGGCGGAGACCTTTCTGGGGCATCTCAAGGAGGTGGACTCATTTGTGGACGCCAAGAAGAAACTCGGCTCCGGGAAGGGTGCCCAGAAAGATCAAGCAGAGACCGGGACCGGTCAGCCCAAACCCAAGCCGAAGGCGAAGTCAAGGGAGAAGGGAGACAAAGGTCGAAAGGGCCAAGAGAGTTCCTCGCAAGAAGCGGGGGGAAGCAATCATGCCTAGCTTCCGATATGATCCCCACTGGGTTGGCCGAAGCAGTTGGGGAGGAGGCGGGTGATCGGCCAAATTCAATTCACGTCCCTGGAAGCAA